CCGTTTGGCGAAGGAATCCTTGTTCCTCCTGTCGGGATCAACAGAAAACACCCTCCCACAGGCAGACTTCAAAAATAAGGTCAAGATCTATACCCTCAGTTTGTGGGAGGAACAATGGAATGAATGAGTAAACAACAAAACCCCGCAATATGACGTCCAAGCTGGGACAAAGAAAGCCTTGGGGTCTCTCGAGAAAAGAACTTATTTCAGCAAAATTACTAATTGGACTTACTTCCCTGACACATTGATGCCCCCTGCCGTAAGATGAAAAACCTTTAAGAGTTGGATGCGATGCAAACCTCATGATCAGGCACATCTTTACTATAATGTCCGGACTTTGGAGAGACCCGTTGAAACTATTCGAAATATGCTCATTTTCTCCACGTTTGATCCCAGGAGAATTCTCGATTTTATAATGACCATTGGTCTTTATTCAAAGATGTAGAAAGTGCCATTTTGAAAATGCAAACTGCTGTTTTTAAAATAGAATTTTTATAATAAAATTTTAACCCTCAACCATTCCGATTTTACAAAGTATAACTAAATAACCAACAACGACTGCTGAGTGTGAGACTCCGCCGTACGCCATTGTGATAAGTGACGTACGGCGGGGTCTTACAGCGAGCAGTCGTTATGCAGTTGAGAGCGCCGCAAAACGCTAACTGAACTGAAATATACCGAAAAAAACCCCGCAAATACCCACAAAGCACTGCTGACTGAAGTACCCAAGGTCTTCGTCTTCGAGATCTAATCGTGGGATGTAGAAAACTTTCCGGAGTAACGTACGGTACATCATGGTGCACATGTCGTTAGCGCTCCTTGCTTTACAGAAAGTATTACAGAAAGTTTATTTAAGCATTAAGTTAGCCACTGTAACATTATCGGCCACCCGCGACAGCACTGAAGTGGTTGGCGAGCCATGAAAGCGACCGAACAATCCGTAAAAGGCCACGTTCAGCGTTCGAACCAAGAACGCTTACATTGGACCCTAGTATGGTACAAAATGAACCAACAGCTCCACAAAAATGCTTGGATAAAAAGAGTAAAATACAAAGAAAAATAAAAAGATAAAGAAAGAAAGTCTTTGAATTGATGAAGAAAGCCAATAGTGGTGCATAGTATCAATAAAGCTCTCACTAGAAAAGAAAATAGTAATAGAAAAAAAGAAAGACACGAAACGAAACGATAGAGAAGCTTAACCACGCTTTCCTCGTTCGTTTTTCATTTCAAGTCTCTTTGAAATTTTCGCTGGTCAAAGAAAATCGGCCAAGTTGAGTGTTCTCCCGGTCTTTTCTCCCTCCACTCCACGGCCTCTTCAATTTGTCTAGTCTCTGCATAAATATACGATTGCTATTTTCCCTTCGTTCTGGGTTCTTCCTCATCTTTAGGTCTTGGCTTAAAAGGGGAAATTTCTATTCCGAATGACGGCTCCAGCAGTTCCAACTATAAAATTTTTTTAAAAAGACCCCCACCAAAATAAAATGATAATCGCCCCCCCCCCTCCCTCCCCTAAAAGAAAGAACTTTAAGAAAAAAGACAAAAAAGAAAGAGAACACAATCCGACGAAAAAAAGAGGGGGAAATAGCAAGAAAAGGAGAAGAAAGAGAAAGCGAGAGGAGATGCCTTTGGTGTAGGGGCGACTATTGAAACTTGCGACACAAAACAAACAGGACACAACCCACACCCAGATTGATTCCAGGAGAGACAATAGCACAGAAACTCTGCTCCAAAGGATCCCTGGCCCACGGCTGGTGGACAAGAGTCCTTCTATGCATAATCTCCTGCTAATATTAATTTTCTGTTTAAACATGCCCAGCCGTTTCCGCGAAACCCTTTTGCTTGCATAATGTCTTTCTATTTTCGCAAGTTTGGGACGTGGGGTGAGGAAGGGAGGCGGAGGAGACAGAAAAAGAGGGGAGGGGGGCTGGTATGGCATGATCTCAAAATTGAAATGAACTTTGTTGAAAGTCTGGTTTAAAGAAATATAAAAAAAAGAGAAGAGAAAAAGTGATCGGATTGTTAAGTCCTACCCACAACCTCCATCCCACCCGCATCCAAATCCTCATTGGTACCTCCCTCCCCGCCATGCCTCCCCCTGCCTCTCTCCGATTGATCTAAAATGATTTTTTTAAAAGGAAGTGGGTAGTTATGAGGGTTCTGGGGAGAGGTATTGGCTTTTTTAATTTGGATTTGATTTTAAGAACTGTAGGTTTTTGTATTTGGAACAATGTCTAAGGTGATAAAAATGGGTAGGGATAGATTGGCTGTGTGTGTGGTATATTATTATATCGCTTACAGCAGTGGTTTTCAAACCTTTTTTCGACCACCGCCCCCTTTTTCACCCGGCCGAGTCCGAGCGCCCCCTGCTCCGCCCCAATCATCAATACGACATAACGACATGCATAATATAATAACAATCACAAATAAAGAGAGAGCTAAAAAAGTAGGGTACAAAATAAAGTGCCTAAATTCTAATGATTTGGTTCTGAATATTAGTTGGGTCACAAATCACCATCATTATAGAGTCTTAAATTAAGCGTGTACGAGTGATAATAAAACACATTTTTTTCTTCAATGTTATGCAAGGGCACTGAGAACAAAATACTGTCATTTTATGCATATATATGTGTCATCGGTATTAAACGATTAGTGTTGTTAACATTAATAAAAGTAAAACATGTATTATGACATGTACAGAAGCAAAACACAAAAAAGAACCCTAAAACAGTGATCATTAGTTTGAAAACAGATTGACATTATTTTTATGAAACGTTTTCTCCCTTCAAGGTGCAGCAATAAAGTTGCCTGAGATTTGTATATCAAATATCTCCATTGAAGAACATAAAAATATTATTAAGCTGTTTAAATGTGAGAATCCACACGAAAGAAAAAGTATGCATGGATCTTAGTCTGTAATTATCACCATCATCGTAATCATCGTCATCGTCATCATCATCAGTTTTATCAGCAGTGGCAGGACATGCACATAACAAACTCTATTAAACAAGTGAATATTTTGCTTTTGAAAAAGAAGAAAGAAAAGCAAACAAAAAAAATATAAAAAAATAAAGAAAAGACGTATTCAGGTATCAAGTAAGTGTAAACTACGGATTAAGCATATACAAATATAAGTCATTGACACTGCCCTAATGGTGAGACGAAACCAACTTATCAACATCAGGTTTCAGATTGGTCAGTGGAAGCAGACGCAAATCGCCACGCTCTGTGATCCCTAGTTTTTTCCTCTGCTTCGTCAACAACCTTGTCACTGCACAGAATCCCATTTCTACTAGACAGGAGGTGGGAAAAGCGATGAACAACAACTTGATATATATTCCCACAGGGAGGGATATTTGTCTTGCACAATAGTTTTCAATCAGAATGACTGGTACGACTTTTTGAACAAAGATTTGATTTCAAAGTCACTTTTCACTGTCAGCTCTTCTTCAATTGCCACAGTCAAGTCACCATCTGTTCTAGTATTGAGTGGGTCCAGTACCCAGTCTGGAATTTCCAGTTAAAAGATATCAATGAACCTTGTCTTCGCGATCATATCAGCATCAGTGGCGGTGGGTGGACCAACATTTAGGTGGGGCTTAGGTTTCTTCCAGCTTTTTACCACCAAATAGAAAGCAATAAGAATTAAACTGTGATGATTTTTCTATACTCACGGTGAGCCACGGCAGTTTGAGAACCATTCAAACGAGAAGAGTTGCCTTTGTTTTCAATCTCTTTGTCCTTAGTTAAATTCTTGTTGATGGTGGGGACGAAGCCGATTCACCTCCAAATTTCCTCTAATTAGTTTTCGTGTGATGAAAAAGTTATAACTGTTAAATCTCAGCAGCACAAACACAAACATGCACACACAGCACTTCAAACATAATACTTCTATGAGCTGGATTAGGCCGTGTAGTCGAGATAGTTGAACGCACCCAACAAAGAACCAAGGAGCGCATATGTATCTGTGTCTGTGGGGGAAAGTGTGTCGTAAACTTTCACCCCATTGTCAGGGCTAGGAGAGCGTGAGCCCGCGGTACATTGTTATTTTTCCCCAGTCTTCTACCTTTTTACAAGAAGAGTTTCATTAAGGATGGACTGTGGGAAAAGGGCTCGTCTTTGCTGAGCCCTAAAGACATTTGATTGGCTGCTGGGTTACTATAGTTGTAAGCGGGAACAACAGTGATTGGATAAGCGAGCAAGCCGCCAGGTTGATCACTCTGTGTTCATTCCGTGAGGTCATAACGGTTTCAACTGCTAATTTCATTATGGAGAAATTTTCATTTACTTTAGGATAGAGTTGGGTGGTGGTTGGGGAGGGGGTAGGGGCTCAAGCCCGTGAGCCCTTCACTACCCACCGCCACTGATCAGCTTGCAAATCTCTGAGGTGGTTGGTATATATTTCTAGTTCCTCGTCAGAAACCCGCCCTTCTTTCAGTGTCTCTGTCAAGCTGGGAAACTGAGCAAATTCTCTTCTGCCAATGTTTTGGTGAAACATTTCCAATTTCGACAAGAATGACGAAAACATGGATTTTGCCTTGATTAGGTTGGTGTCATCGAGTTCAAAGCGTGGACGTTGATCATGTTACTTGATGACAATGGCCATTGTGTCATGCAGACTTTCATTCAGGTTTTTTGCCAACAAATTCTGTCTGTGAATGACACAGCGAACAGTTAGTACTCCAGGGACTGATTTTTTCAAGAAGCTCATAAATCCACGATACCGACCAGTCATCGACGGTGCTCCATTTGTTGCACAGGCAACCATATTGGCCAGAGGAATCTGTTTCTCCTCCAAAAATTATTGGATCACTTTGAAAATGGACTCGACTTTGGCATCTGTTTCCAACATTTTCGCAAACAACAATTCTTGCATTATTTACCTCACCATATTATATGAACCGATATCCAGTTGAAGGCGGAACTCACGTCTTTTAAGAATTTTGCACAATGATTCCTTAACATTTGCTGACATCCCACCCATACGTCTTTGAACGGTATTGTCACGTAGTGGCAAGAACTTTCACCACAGGCTCCGGGGCACGGTGCAGGACTGTGCTGACCACCTCTCTTATTGCAGACAATATGAGGTCCTCGCCGAGAGTACGTGGTTTGCCTGCCTTTGCAATTAGCAGAGATAAATTATAAGTTGCTCGTAAGTCTTCGTCAACCCAATCGACGTCGGCTGCAAACATCGATTTAATTGATTTTTATTTCTGAAAATTGATCTTTAGAGTTTTGAAGTATGCCAGATCTTTCTCAGATTTGCCAGGATGAATCATCTTTATAAGGGCTTTGAGTGCTGGGAAAGAAAGTTCTCAGTAATAAGTAGTATTGTAAACTATGCCTAAGTTATCAATTTTTGTTTTTGTTTTTTATGTGACTTCTTTCCCTTCACCATTTCTTAAGTTGCATTTCATGAAAATTTCACACCGCCCCCTTAACGCCCACCACCGCCCCCAATCGCCCAAT